AGGGTTGCGATCCGTTGCCGGACACGGAAAAAGACAAAAGACAAAAAAAAAAAAAAAGGAGAATTGTAGATAATACTATTTAGGAAAATAGGAATTAGGGTTCTTTAAAGAAAAAATCTTTTATAACACTAATAGGCAGCACTCTTTGCTCAACCAAACATAGATATAGAAACAGCTTTCTGGGTAACACCAATTTCCTTTAAAATGTAAATTACTAGAATTGAGAATAGATCTTGTTCCTGAATTCCAACACTAGCACTTCCAGTTTGACCAAGTCGGAGGTTCTGTTTATGGTATAGAGGCGTTAACAAGAGACAGGATGTACTTTAAGACGGAAGTCGCTGTCTGCTGCTTTAGGAAAAGAACCTGGGGGAAACAGAGTACGTCTCTATTATACTCCAGAGTGTGCTGATTCCTCTTCCATGTTTTCCATTAAAAACACTGAAAAGTCCTTGCAAGAATGAAGATATGCCTACATGAATGGTGCTATGGAACCTAGTCTCACGTCTGGAACAACTCAGAATGAATCACTGTCCTCTTCTGTGACCTCCCCCCCCCCCATATTATCTCACTTGCAAAACAGACCAAATTCTATCCTGCGAGGCTTTGAACTACACCCTAGTGTTCTCTGAGTAGCTTTGCAATGCCGGGTACTGATAGGAGTGCCTCAATTTTTAAGAGCTTTCAGCCGTGGGTGAGCATTTATTCCTCACTCATTCATTCAGCCTGCATTCGGTAAATATTGTTCAGGTGCCTATTGTGCCTCAGACATGTGCTGATACAAGAAGGAAAAATAAGAAGTGTTTTCACCCTAAAAATCATGGGAATAGTGTCAACATTGGAAAGGCTGCTCTGGAGAATCTGGAGTGGTTGTATTTAACACATTCATATGCAGGGTTGTATATTGTGATACTCGGCCAAGGGGATCACTGATAACCAATTGAGGATTACATTGGAGATTATTCAGAAGAGCGGGGGGAAGGAGGAGACAGAAGCTAAAGCCTGTTGTGTTCTTTTTTTTTTTTTTTCCTTTTTGTCTTTTTTCGTGACCAGCAACAGATCGCAACCCTCAGTGTCGCGCCCGTACCGGACCGGGACCGACAACGGGATCGCAACCTTCGGTGCTGCGCCCTCACTTCGCTCAGCCAGTGAGCGGCTGGTCTGTACGTGGGATCCGAACCCTCGGCGGGAGCGCCTCTGCGCTCCCAAGTGGCGCACTGTAGCAGTGCGCCACCAGGCCGGCCCCAAAGCCTGTTGTGTTCTAGACACTTTGCTAACTCCTTTGTATGTCTCATTTTATTCAAACCTCCAAACACTCTTGTGAGGTTTGCATGATTACCCCCATTTTGCAGATGAAGTAACTGAGGCGTAGAGAGGTTAATCAGCCTTAGGAAACAAATTCACTGAGAACTGGGATTTTCTTACTGGCCTCAGTTCATTTCCTGAGTTAGATATTTAATACATATTTACATATGCCAGAGAAGATAGGTTTTAAAATGGTCTCAGTGTTAATATTGAGAAAAAGTCCTGTTACATCAGAAAAATGTGAAGTCTGCTTTAATATTCCTATAATCCATTGAGTTTCTAAATATTTATTTGGCGCACTGTAGCAGTGCGCCACCGGGCCGGCCCCAAAGCCTGTTGTGTTCTAGACACTTTGCTAACTCCTTTGTATGTCTCATTTTATTCAAACCTCCAAACACTCTTGTGAGGTTTGCATGATTACCCCCATTTTGCAGATGAAGTAACTGAGGCGTAGAGAGGTTAATCAGCCTTAGGAAACAAATTCACTGAGAACTGGGATTTTCTTACTGGCCTCAGTTCATTTCCTGAGTTAGATATTTAATACATATTTACATATGCCAGAGAAGATAGGTTTTAAAATGGTCTCAGTGTTAATATTGAGAAAAAGTCCTGTTACATCAGAAAAATGTGAAGTCTGCTTTAATATTCCTATAATCCATTGAGTTTCTAAATATTTATTTATTCTAATGAAAAAGAATTACTACAACTGATGATACATTTAATTAACATAATTTTTTTTCCTATAACTGTACTTGTTGAATGTTAATCATATTTAAAGGGAATGACTTTGAAGTAGAACTTTCTTTTTTCCTGCTACTGAAAAATCGAATGGAATTATATCGTATGGCAAAGTGTTGAGGGATCGGGAACACACCCAGACTCAGGGGCGAAGTTTAAAATTGTCTCTATTCAATTAATTATCTAAATGATAGCATCCGAGAAGAAAAAAATGTTTTACACTGGATCTTTCTCACGCAGAACAAGAAATCTTTCTGGAATAGAAGATGTTTACATGTCTGTTGCTGGTCATCTCCCCTATGTCTGAATAATTTAATATTGGAAGAGCCTAGTGTTTCGGCTAGTGGATTTCTGCTAGCCCATGGGGATGCCCTGAAACTACTGTATCTGTCTTTGTTTTCAATGATGTTCCACGTTTTGTTTCTTGGAAATAAATTAATATATTATTTTCCACCTTTGGAGATATTGTGTATTTTTATTTGACGGTTGGTTAAAATTCACTAACAAGCATGTTTAACAAGGCAATTCTCCTAGCATTTAAAAAGGATACATTCTGGGCCGGCCTGGTGGCACACTCAGTAGAGTGTGGCGCTTGGGAGTGCGGCGGTGCTCCCGCCGAGGGTTTGGATCCCATATAGAGACCGGTCTGCTCACTGGTTGAGCATGGTGTGGGCGCAACACCGAGGGTTGCAATCCCATTGCCGGTCACGAAAAAAGACAAAAAACAGGAAAAAAAATAAAATAAAATAAAATAAAAAGGATACATTCATACATATATGCACATCTGTTTAAATAACATTCAACCACTGAAAATTATTAAATTTTCCCTTTGTGGGGTGTTGGGCAGAGTAATTGGAAATGATGGAGGGTGAGATGATAGAGAAAATCAAGTTTCATTTAAATTGGGTACAGCTACTTTAAAATTTTAGTCAAAACTAAGTTATCTTATTATTTTTCTGCCTTATTTATTCATTTTTTAAAAATTAAGATACAATTTAGGAAAAAGACTCATGTTAATATTATCATCATTACTTACCAAGGACCAAAGTTTTTGAGCAGCATTTCAGTTATAATTTTGCTAAATAAATATTGTTCCTTAATAGGCATATGGAAAACGACAAAGACTAAGGAAAATAACTCATTTAAAGGACATCTTAGGGCTGAGCCCATGGTGCACTCGGGAGACTGCAGCGCTGGGAGCGCAGCAGCGCTCCCGCCGCGGGTTTGGATCCTATATAGGGATGACCGGTGCGCTCACAGCGCTCACTGGCTGAGCGCGGTGCGGCCAGTCTCAAAAAGGACATCTTATACACAATTATTTATTTATTTATTCATTCATTCATTCATTATCTAGTGGCAGGCTGGTATGGGGGTCCGAACCCTTGGCCTTGGTGTTATAACACTGTGCTCTAACCAGCTGAGCTAACTGGCCAACCCATACACCATTTTATAAAATAAAAAATATTCTAAAATTGAAATATAAAACATTTCAAATTAGAAAAGTAATAAAAATATATCCTCATAAGAATGGATATAATACAAAATATAAAATAAAAAGTGAACTACTTTCTCACTTATTTGGTCTATATTCTTAAGTGCTTTTTCAATGTAGTGACATACACACTTATATATGCATATATC